GGGGGGGGGGGGGGGGGGGGCGGTCTGAGTCAGGTTTTAGACCCCAATCTGTTCCAGTATTGACCCTCCCCTCATCCCTGCCCCCTTTCCATGTCTCTGTGGGGCTTAAGCCAACATCCCCACAGGAGCTCAGGCCAACACTGTGCCTGCTGTCACCCCACCCCAAGTGGGAAGAGGTCTTCCCTCCAAGTGTGACAGTTCTTTCAGCCAACTCAGAAAGCCTGGCACAAGCCCACTAATAACAAACATACTGCTATTGAGCCCCAGGTTTGGCAGAATGCCACCTGGAAGGCCATTCTCAGCCTTCTCCTCAAAGGAGGTGGCTTACCTCTGTCTCTCTGCATATGAGCCCCTGGGCCCCCAGAGCCCAGTCCAGGGTTCACCATTTCTTCCTTGAGACATCGTCCTGACCAGCAACTCTGAGACAGAAAGAGCTCTGAAAACTAACCAGCCTTTATAAGTTTACTAGCAACACCTGGACTGAAGAGATGTGAGGCTGTAAGCAATATCTGTTCATCTCCCTTAGTGGGAATATTCACACACTTAGTGAAGCTGTGTTACTCCATTGAATTACAAGCTGGGGATAGTCTGTAACATGCAACACATGTGTCATATTATCTTTTGAAAATCCAAAAATATCCCTGAATTCCAAAACACGTCAGGCTCCTGGGTTTTGGATAAAGGCCTGTGGATCTGTGGTAGCTTCAAAATGAGTTCCAGGGTTTTCCTTCACTAGTTTCCTCAAGGGCCTGAAGTAATTATACAGGATGTGTAGCTAAAGGGAGAAAGTCACATATAGAAATTAGAAGTTCTCATAATTGAGTCGACATTTACTGGGAGGAGAGGACTTTCATAGAGCCAGGAATTAGGGTAGAGTTTCCCCAAAGTCCTGTAGAAGAAATATCTACCCCTTAGGGGCCAGTTCCTCCTCTCCCTCGATCCCTTTGATTAATATGTACCCAGAAAGGAGGCTACATAGAGGGGAACCTATCTTTGAATTCAGTGGAAAATTCACCATACAATAAACCAGTTTTAAAATGATGGTTTCATAAAAGTAAAATAAATAAAATGATGATTTGATTCCCAAGTTTACCATATTTTTTCATGTATAAGACACTATTTTTTTTTTCTGAAATTAAGGGGCATCTTATACAGGGAAGTCAGCTGACGAGGGAGCTGAGCAGGGAGCCCCAAGGGTGCATAGCTGCCCGTACCTTGTCCAACAGGCCTCCTCCAATCAGGAGCCTTATTGTTACTGACGTCAGCTGATGCCGTAATTGGAGGTGGAGGTGGAGAGTGCACAGATGCAACAGGGACCAGAGCGTTCTGAGCCCATAAAGATGTCAAAAAACAAAAAGATAAATACCAGTAAGCGATTGTCTTACTCTGCAAAATTCAAATTGAATGTAATTAGCTGTGCAAAGGAGCTTGGAAACAGAGCTTGCAGAGAGAAAATTTGAACCTCCTCCCACTGAGTGTATGATCAGACAGTGGAGAAAACAGGAAGAACAACTCCTTAAGATGCCAAAAAAGAAGAAGGCCTTAAGAGGAAAACCAGCAAAATGTTTAAAATATTGATTTCTTAATTTTGGGTTGCAAAAGTGGGGAGCTTCTCATGCCTGGGGGCATATTATACATGAAAAAATACAGTAGCTAAAACAATAGAATTCTAAATATTGGATAAAGTAATTTTTATGAGTAAACCTAGGAATTTAAGTTCTTTTCATGTTACTCTTTACATGAGAAAATACATTCTGCATCTTATAAATAAGGAAATACAAAAGGCCATTTATAACACATGCATTTCTAAGCTGGATGTTGTCTACAATGTGTAGCATTTTTCTGTCATCATTTGTCGTTCAAGAAATAATAGGTACTAGAAAGAGAGGCTCAACAAGAGACAATGAACCAGCCCCCACAGCTCAGACACCAGGGGGAGAGACAGGGGGTGGGGAGGAGTAACAGTTAAAGTAAACTCATCTTAATGTAAATTAAGTTACATTTTTATTGTAATTTTATGCATAACACTTTCCTATGATCAGTTTCATCTTATTTTAAAGCAGCTTTATATAACAGTTTGACGCACTGAAAGATTCACCTGTGAGTAACATGAAAGTCTCCAAATCTTCGCAAAGATCAGAGAGACTGTTTAAATACATACACTTATCCCCCAAGTTCTGCTCAAGAGGAAGAGGCTCCCTGTGAAAGAACAGTTTACAAAGTTCACAGTGGAACGCCAGCATCATTTCCCTCAAAATCAGACGTTCAATAATATTTGCATTTTAAAACAATAGAGGTGAAATCTGTCATTTTAAAAAAATCTACAACTTTGCCAAAAGAGGATGGAATGTTAATGACCGATAGCTGTAATCCAAATTTTTAGAAAGTTTGTCACAACATTCTACATACCACACCTTTGAAAACAATGGCCTGGTGCTTTTGAAATCCCCAGGTGAAATTGTCTGAGTGGAAATTAAAACACAACAGCGACTTTCTTGAAATCAGGAAATCTCAAGATTCCACAGGGTCAGCACAACCCAAAGGAATGAAGTCTTACATTTGTCCTTTCTGTGATAGCAACATTTGATGGTGGGGGAGGGGGGAGGGGAGCGGGGGGGTGGTAAAAAGAAATAAAAAGAGTTAAAAGCCTTACTTTTCCTCCTGAAGGCCCGTAGGAGACGTTGAAGGCACCAGTGTCAATGGAGATGGGAAACTGGGTAGAAGCACATATTAGAATTACTTGTTGGCATCAACCACATAATACCAAGGATAGAAAATCAGTCCACGCTTGATGTTAATCCCTGCAAGGAACAACAAAAGAAATAACTAATTACCGAATTCAATCATGGGCGAATGCAACTTTTATTCCTAAAAGCAATGAGGAATCCAGGGGTAAATGCCAGCCCGGAATTCAATAATCAGGATCCTCAAGTAGCAGGAAAAGGTCTGAAGGCTTGGCTTCTGTATTTTATGGCGTTATTAACTGGGGAAATTTGGAAACTGTGGCAAATGTGGAAAGTCATTGACTAAGAAAATGAAATCAATCCAATTGGCCTTGTTCGGTGTCTAGAATTGGTAAGCACTGGTCTTGGCACTGAGAGATTATGAAGATGTGCAAGACATCATCTCCATCTCAGTGGGGAGACAAGCTTGTACACATGGAAACCAGGAGAAAAGTAGTATGCAGCAGCCTAACAGAAACCAATCACTAGTAATCGTGAGATTAGTTGCTCCCTATTCTAAAGGTCTTTCCATGTTTTAATTCATTTACTTATCACAACCATTCTACGAGATAGGTACTATTGCTCTCTCCCTTTTCACAGTGAGGAAACTACAGCTCAGAGAGGTTGAGAAATTTACCCAGGGTCACACAGCTCATAGGTGGTAGATCATAAGTTTAAATCCAGTGTCCAAATGTTACTCACCCTTGCCCACCACACAATACAGCATGTAAAGGATTTTCATTCTGACTATGGTGGGTGGGTTGGGTGGGGGGCAGGATGAGGTGGGGAAATAGGAAGAGAGGTAAAAAAAAAAAAAAAGCTTCTAGGAGGAAAGGCAACTGAGATGTACACTGCCCAGATGGGCATAATATAACCTCCCTAGACCAAGTTTCCTTACCTCCCAACAAGTGGAATTGATGAGATTATCTCTGGAAATCCCTTTAAATTTTTTAATCACTTAGGAATTCACTCTTGTGACATCAGAGGAGAGCACAAAAAAGAACAAGCTTCAGAAAACAACACAACAGGAGTAATTAATAGCTGTGTGAGCGTGGGACAGTTGTTTACCTGTCCTGAACTTTCGTTTCTTCACTGATGCAATGAGCCAATCCTCAGAGTGTTGTTATAAAGAGTAAATCTCCTATGCTAGATGCAGTGCCAGCACATAGAAGGCACTCAATTAATTTTAGTATCTCCCTCCCTTTTCTTTCTTTCTTGAATGCACCTAAACCTTAGATCACTGTGTGGCTGGCTACATATTAGTAGAGCACACTTTGGAGGTAGATTGAAAAATAAAAGAATATGTGAGAGTATGAAATATCTTCTAAAATATCTGAAAGGTTCTAATTTGCAATACATCTATTTTATGTTAAAACTAGTGGCCCGGTACACAAAATTTGTGCGGGGGGGCGGGGGGGTTTCCCCTCAGCCCAGCCTGCACCCTCTCCAATCGGGACCCCTTGGGGGATGTCCTAAACCAGCAGTCGGACATCCCTCTCGAAATCTGGGACCACTGGCTCCTAACCACTCACCTGTCTGCCTGCCTAATTGCCCCTAACCCCTCTGCCTACCTTCCTGCCTGATTGCCCCCAACTGCCCTCCCCTGCAGACCTGACCTCACCCCCAACTGCCCTCCCCTGCCATTTTGATCACCCCAACTGCCTCTGCCTTGGCCCCCACCACCATGGCTTTGTCTGGAAGAAAGTCAAACGTCCAGAAGATGGCTGGTCGACCCGGCCTAATTAGCATATTACCCTTTTATTAGTATAGATCCTGGGTGTTTCTCATGATCCTTTTATTTATTTTTTTAAAATATATTTTATTGATTTTTTTACAGAGAGAAGGGAGAGAGATAGTTAGAAACATTGATGAGAGAGAAACATGGATCAGCTGCCTCCTGCACACCTCCTACGGGGGATGTGCCTGCAACCAAGGTACATGCCCTTGACCAGAATCGAACCTGGGACCCCTCAGTCCGCAGGCCAATGCTCTATCTACTGAGCCAAACCGGTTAGGGCCCTCGTGATCCTTTTAATTATACAAGTCAACGACCTCATTGAACAGTCACATGATAAACTGGAGACCCAGAGAGAAAGACACATACTACTTATTCATAAGCCATGACTGATATGGCTTAGGGAGCTTTCAATAGATAGTTAATAGGTTATGCAAAAAGTGCATAGTTAAGAGGTAAAAACTTTGTAATGTTACACACTGAAGTTAATACGTGAATGAAAGTGGGTAGAAAAAGTCCTCTCCAAAAACTGTTGTCATCATTTAATTTAATATCAAAGATTACGACGCTAGTAAGACGCATATCCATAGAAAAGAGCAAGTAAAGGGACAGTAATCGTATTGATAGCCAAGAGAAAAAAAGAGATTAAAACCTGTATGTAAGTAGGTGTTCTGTTTCTTTTTCTCTTAGTTTATTAACTCAGAATACACCTTTTAACCAGCTTTGGCTAAAGAGGTTCAGTGACTCCTTTGTTAGCTAAGCTACAGCTTTTACAGTGGCAAAGGCATCTGAGAGGAGAAAAGCCATGGACGCAGGCGAGATTGAGGCCGAGATCTAGCGGTTAAACATACCAGCCTGGCCGCTGTTCTGAATGTGCAGCCTTAGCTTGTGACGTCAGCCTGAAGTGGACGCAGTGGGCCCCCTACAGAGGTTCCGCCTTCTACAGCTTTAGTAACTCTCCCTAGCATGGGACACAGATCACTCTACACACTGTGTGTTGCCATTAAATAATGAGGGCTGATGAGCTAAGGGAGGGCAATGCCCTTTGTTAAAATATATTCTGGTCGATATTAATGTGATGATGATGATAGTCAACAGTTTATATGAACTGAGTGCTCACTACATACCTGGCATGCTGTACTAATGCCATTATGTACATTAGCCCTTTAAATCCCCCTATACAATAGACCCCACTGCTGTTCCTTTCTTTTTCTGACATGAGGAAATTAAGGCTTAGAGGGGTAGAAGGATGCATATTAGGATTCCCTTATCCTCCTCCCCACACCCCGTCCCTCCCAGGTCAGGGTTCTTCTATTGCCAGGACACGTCACTCGGCAAGCTCAGCAAGAGCTGTTTACTGAGAGGATGTCACAGGCAGTGCCTGGGACAAGGGCAGAAAAGCAAAGATGTAGGACTACGTAGGGGTTTCATCTAAGAAGCTAGGAACCAAGTCCATTCCCACCAGCTCGCATCTCCTTAGCACTGTCTATTACAAATGTATACAAATACCTTCTCAGAATCTGGGGAACTGGGATTCCACAGGACCAGGCATTTCTTTATCTTTTTTTTTAAGGGGGGGCGGGGCAGGGTCCAAGCATTTTTAACCTTTGAATGTCCCTCTACTATATTATGTGTCTTATAAAAGAACTTATTATATATATTTTTGGTATGAAGGAAAGATGAACTTTTAACTTCATTTCTTTGACTGACTACTAATAAAAATAAAAATTAATTCTGATTTTAATTCGTTCATGATCTTAACACACAGGGAAACATTCTGTGTGCATCTGGTTTGCTTTTAAAAGTAGGAACTAACCCAGCGAAGCACAAAGCTCGGAAAGGGGTAAATGCACTGAGCTTTGCAAGTGAATCTATTTTAATAATTACTTTCTCCACATAAAATTCATTTAAAATCTCCACTTTGCAATTTGGCAGATGTAACATTCCTGTGTGAAGTTGGGGTGCTTTTCTCCATTCTTATAGCTAGTCTATGTAAGGCAGAAAGTGATAATGCTGTGCCCATGAGCTCTAGGGTCTTTTCCTTGAGGCCGGCATTCTGCTGCTGTATTCCATTAATAGACTCACATTCCAGCACAAAGCACAGTGCTTGGACTAGAGCCCAGTTCTCCTGACTTTCCGTCTAGGGCCTTTCAACAAGTTGTGCAGATTGGTGAGGAGGGGGTGCAGGGGGAAGGGGGGGGGGATGGCTTGTGTTTGATCCAAAACAGAAGAACATGAAGCATCACAGGGCCATCTCCTGCCCCTTCCCATCACTTGACATCATGATGTCACTTGGTCCGAGAATTTGGTTGTGACATATGAATGTGAAAGTTCTGTGTATGTATGTTTTGTGACTATCTGTCTATTGAACGCTCTCTCACTGGATAGAAAACTCACTTATAGCAAGCAGGTGCTTATTTATTTTTATGGCTCCATCACTCAGAATATAGCCTGGCACACAATAGGCATCAAAGAACAAACAAAAAATGTTAATTGGAAGGAAGGAAGGGAGGAAAGAAGGAAGGAAGGAGAGAGAGGGAGGGAAGAAAGGAAGCATGGACAAGCTGTTCAGTTTGTCTCAAATGAAGACTCTATTTATGATTCAACCAAAAGATTGTGAAGCTACTTTCGAGAAA